TGAGAGCGAAATTAGTCATATTTCCGAAATGTACTGCCATAGTAGATCCATGGAAATTTTCAAAGTCGTGCATCAGTGGAGGATAAATGGACCTAACGTTTTTAGTAAGAAACACGATAGACCCAACAGTTACTTTTGGAGTGCTAGTTGTGGAATCCTAATAATAGGCATGTTGGATAGTGATTAGGGAAGAGAATAATGCAGTATTGCACAGAGAAGCAATACAGAAGTAATCGAGACTAGACATTTTGTTAAACAAAGGAACTTGGCGAACTAACGTTCTACAGTTAACTCATTGAACAGTCTCAGGTAATCATGAGAAATTTTCTCATGAGTTGCAAGGGTCAGCATTTATCTCATAGTTCGGATTTGTGGTAAACGTTATCTGATGCTATCGTTGGATTATACCAATGAATAATTTTGTGTGCTAACAATAAACCAAAATCATTTGAAGGCATCCGTGGCTACATTGTTTGAATAATTATCAAACTTGTGAGGTATAGGTTTTGTGTATGATGCAACGAATGTTAAGTGGAAGAAGACGGATGTCCTGATGAACTGTGGAAAATCCATAGAATAATTTGTCTGTGATGGACTCTCAAATCTTGAGCACAATCGATTACTATTAGTGGAGCGTACATTTGAAAGTTTACTACGATCTATTTCAAATGGGCACTCGTCGTGTATACAGCAGATGAAGCATGAACTGAAAACCTAGGAAGCATTGGACGGCTGTTTCCATCTGGTTGGGTCTCGTCAGCAGTGCAAATCCCAACTGGGGATCGAACCTGAGACCTCATGGGCAAAACGCGAAGATAGTACCCACTACGCCACCGAGCAGGTGATCAGTTGTTTTTTTTATTTCCTATATACACGTTGATTTCCTATTTGAAATTTAATGAAATCTTTCAATATGTGAAATGATTTTTTCTTCCAAAATGGACAAAATTGTGGTTTATGCGTATATAATAATGCTTTGATTTCATGCCATACGCTGTGGTACTGGTTTAAGAATAATTGACAGCTAATTCTTTAATGGATCGGAAATATGACGCAGTTATTAGGTTATCTTAATGAAGTCAAATTGAAATTATTTTCTGGTAGAACTCGTTCGTCAAAATACCGTCATAAAAGAAATTTATGCGTCGCCCATTGACTGATATTAACTTCGTGCTGTTCGCATGTAAAAACCCAAAAACTTAAAAATTTGCTTTACACTTTCGGAATCAGTGCATCGTCTTGTCTTTTAGTGGTCATGTCTACGGATTGAAGCTGATAAAAAATAAATCCACAACATTCAGCTCGTTCCTGTAAAATCAGAATGGACAAATTCATCAAGTCTATTCAGCAAATGTACGACAGTTTTCTTCAGTGAATAGCAACCTTCTTACCACTCACTCAGTTATCTTAAGGTTTGCAAAAGCATCATTCATGGCTCTCAACACATCAGTTGGTAAAGTTTCCGAAATGACAAGGCTG